CCCTTATCCTGCTCCCATCCTGGCTATACCACTATGAGATGGAACGAGTATTTAATTTGTCTGACGTCACAGAATCATAGACGAACACACACGGCATCAGCTAACCAGCAGACAGATCATTTAGCATGGGAGATTCGTTTTCTGGTCTTGCTTCTATAAATATAACGTGTATACTTGGTGTAGACCTTTGCATATATATATAAATATATATATATAAAACTTTGTAGTTTTTCTGGTTTTTGATGTTGAATCTGTATCTATAATGTATCCTAGTAGTGACCACATACTTCTGACTGTATAATTGTACATTTGTAAACCCTTGTAATGTAAAAGTGCTTTACCACCCTTTTTGGTATGAGAAGAAAAAAGAAAAAATTCACTCTTTGGGGGGAAAAAAAAAAACAAAACCTGTCCATTTCAGTGTATATTCTCACCTCCTTGGTTGTGACATATGAGTTGTTGTATATTGTAAATTGTAATATCAAATTTTTGTTTGAAAAGCCCTTTCTATACAGCGTAGTACTTGTACAAAGATTTGCCACGCTTGGTTTTATCTTTACCTCGTCACTGCTTAACTTAAGACGTCGATCTCCCACTGACACCCAAAACTAGACATCTTCTGTTCGACTGTCCTCTGGTTTGAAGGTTTTTTCTGGGTTTTCCCTTTTTTTGTTTTTGGACTTTTTTAATTTTATTTTGATCTTTTATAGGAATCCTTTACCTGATGAAATGTTCGTGTGGGTATGCTGGCTCAGTTTGACTCATTTGCCCCAAAACCTCCCAAATTACCCACGACTGTTTTCAGGGGTAAACCCGTGGATTGTACAGAGGAGATTCTTGTGTTTTTTGGCATTTCTCTAGTGCTGTAAGTGCTGTATCATACTGTCAATGTCCTTTTGGGTGGAAGAGGCAGCCCGCCGCAGCACGGTGTACATTTGGAGCCGCCTTGTGTATATTTACTATGAGCACACCTGTAACCATATGTGTATAGTTAACAGAACCTGTGTATGCTTATTGCCTGGGCAACTATTTTTTGTAACTCCTGTTGTAGATTGTCTCTAAACAATTGTGTGATCTTTATTTTGAAACCAAACTGAACAAAAAAAAAAAAACTTTGAAAATTTACCAGTCTGGCGTGCGCTTCTTCGCGTCTGGGTGGTTCAGAGGACCTCTGGGGGGTTCAGGTCTGGGTGGTTTAGGAGGATGTCTGGGGGGGGGGGTTCTGGAGGACCTCTGGGTGGTTCTGAATGGTTCTGGTCTGGGGGGACGTCTGGGTGTTTCTTGAGGAGGTCTGGGTGGTTCTGGGGGGGCGTTTGGGTGGTTCAAGTCTAGGGGGTTCAAGTCTAGGGGGTCCTGGTCTGGGTGGTTCAGGTCTAGGTAGTTCTGGTCTGGGAGGTTCAGGTCTAGGTGGTTCTGGAGGACCTCTGGATGGTTCTGGTCTGGGGGACGTCTAGGTGGTTCAGGTCTGGGTGGTTCAGGTCTAAGTGCCTGAGCTCCAAACTGGGAGCAGACGGGCCCTCAGACCAGTTCTGGGTCACAGCTGGAGCAGAAGTGATGGATTCAGTAAACCTGGACCTGGTCATCAGCTGGTCAGGAGCTCTGAGTGAGTATCCGCTAAACAAAACGC